CACTTAAGTGGATTCAGAATCAACTTAAGTTGATTCCGAATCCACAAATATCCCGTATCCACCTACAACATATATATATTAAATATTAACTTCAAAAATCATACTGTATCTCAGATAAATATTTAGATAAAGTTTTTATATATGATATAAAATTTGGAAAAAAAGTCGGGTGGTCGGGTTTGTTCAGAAGTTTTAATGATATGAAAACCAGAAATTAACTTTACATGACCTTATCGTTATCTTCTGTAATATTAAAGAATTTTATTAATTATAATAAATAATATATATATATATATTATATTTATAAAATCGCATTTTAACATATCGACGGATTTGTGGAATTTGATAAATAGGAAAACCATGAGCCGTAACTCTGGTCAAATTTGCAAATCGTTTGGCCTGGTTTGAAATTATTTGACTTCAAAGCTGGCCAAATGATCTGCAAATTTGACCAGTGTTACGGTTCATGGGTTTTTCTATTTAACAAATTCTACAAATCCGCCGATATCGATATGAAGTGCACGTTCTAATAGTAATTATTATAAGGTAGAATTTACGATGCACTAGATAATACGAAAAGATTTTTGTATATCATACGTATAATATGCTCTTTGGTATTTTCATTGAGATTAGTCGATTTGGCAGCTAAATCAGAGAATCTCTCGGTTGACTCAATAAGATTAGAATTAATTACGATCTAATCTATCATCGAAGGTTTTTTTTAGAGACTACCTGATTAAATTCATTAAAAAATTTTTTTTATTTTATTATACTAGTAGAAAATTTCGATTTGGCTTAATAGGTATCGAAAATTATTTATTTAAATCCTTAAAAAAAAACAAAAAAATTAATACAGTATCTTGAAAAAAATACTATCAAAGATTTAGCCAAGTTTGATAATAAAAAAATTTGGTTATATAGCGATAGATATTAGAAAAAGACCTCCGCTGTAATTAAGTATATATATATATACAATATTTGAAGCCAATAAAATTTCAAGGATATTAGATCATATAAGTAGATGGATAGGATTTTCAATAATTTCTAGATAATCGTTTGTCTTTATCGGAATGAATACAGCAAAAGCTCTTCGTTTAAAAAACAAAATAAACTGGACATCCAACCAATTTCTCTTCCATCCTCGAAGAAATCAAACACCTACTTACGATTTAAATGCTTTAACAACAATTGAACATTATATGCAAAAATCATTGTCTGATATAACAATTAAACATACTCCAAAAAAAGTTGTAATTCAACAATATTATTATACTAATCCAATACCAACACAACGTCGTGGACTTGAAGATATTGATAATGATTCCGTAACAGAAAAAACTAATAAAGATATACTTAATCCAATGGCTTTAGATAAACTTAAAGAACGTTTATCTAAATTATACAACAAAGACGTCGAATTTAATTTAATTAAACAACATTATCCATACCTTAATAGTAAAATATTGGCTCAATACATCGCTTTAAACGCTTCGCGTTATAGATTTAGACAAATTCGGCGTTCACTTTTCAAAAAGATTCCATTGGTTGGTGATAATCAACAAAAAAATAATCTAAATTCTACTTCTGCACTTAAGTGGATTCAATTATCACGTTTAGGCCAACAAATTTTACCAACTCATCTTACTGGTGTGAAAATACAAATTTCTGGTAGAATGAGTCTTCGTAAAGGTTCTGCTAGAACTAGTGTAATCAATAAATCTATAGGTAGTTTTAGATTTCATTCTTTAGAGAATACTATGATTGATTATGCAAAGGTTGAACGTAAAAATCAAAATGGTGCTTATTGTGTTAAGGTTTGGCTTAGTTCTTCTGTAGTTACATAAATTTTATTGTGCAATTTTGTTTGTTATGTACACTTTAATAGACTTAATAGACTTAATTGTATCATTTATCCAAAAAAAAAAATTTAAAATTTCAATTTTATTATTATATTTTCATCTTTCATGACTTATTATTTTTGCATGGATTTAATTTCCATTTAACAAAAAATTATTGACATCACGCTTCTATAAATAAGCCATGTTAATTATAAGAAATGACCAAATAATATGCCCTAATTTTTTTCCCATCCTTGAATCTCCGGTACGGCTACATTCTTTCCCTTGTAACTTATGATACCTCGAATAGGGTGACTTGGTGTCATTGCAACAGGTGTAGCTAAAGGATTCCCTGACAATGCTTTTTTTTGCTGCTTGTTTCCTTCTTCTAGTGGTCGAATACGACCCTCACATAATGGACACATATATTTAGCGTCTGGAATATCCGCCAATTCTTGATATTTTTCAGGTGTAAGAGTCACATCACACCTAGTGTGAATCCATCGATCGCATCCATCACAGCAGACCATATATTTGTCGTCGTCATTTTCTTGTCCATCTTCTGTATAGGTTTTAAGACACACTGGACAAAATAAATCTCTCATGAAATTGTTTTGGCATTTATTGCAAATAGTAGCTAAATAAATCGGATAATTTGCTGTCTCTGTTGTTTTGACATGATGATAATCACTTGCTGCATCATTTAAAGATGTTGCTTTCTCACCACATGCATTACATTGCGCACAAAGTGAGCATAACCAAAGCTCTAAAATGATTGTTAATTATTATTAAATTAATTAAAAACAAATAAAAAAATATATCTTTTAAAATTATGTTTATTTATACCGCTTGGTACTTGGGTTACTTTCGGTGAGCTACAATCAAGGTGCCAACCACGATCACAGTCATCGCAAATCAACAATGTCGCCTCGTCACCTGAAGACCGACATACAACACATGTTTTGCAATCGTTGCATTGCCACTGGTAGCTTTCCATCGCTATCAAAAAGCCTTGGAAGTCTTGAATATGAAAGGGTCAAGCAGAGCGGATGAAATTTGCGGTGACAATTAGAACATTTGATAGTATAATCATTTGGGCATGGTAATACGCCATCAGGTGGAATTGTTGTCGGGGGAGCAGTAGCAGATAAACACTGTGCACAAGCATCCTCCGAAAAAACGGTATCCGTAGAAATGGTAAGAGGTTGTGCGTTAGAATCTGTCGTAGTTACATATGATTCTGTCACGACAGTTTGCTAATATTTAATTAAAATAATTTTTAACAACGTATAATCGTTAAAAGTATTATAGGCCATACAAGGTAACCGGCCTTTTTCATTTAATTTTATGTATACAATTTTTTTTTAAAAACAACCCGGTTACCATGTAAACATGAAATAACACTCAAGGGTATAATTTTCAATCACGGCCAGAATTAAGCTTATTACAGACCGTAATCGGAAACAATATCCTAGGCGTTATTCACGTTATATGGTAATGTAATATATAAAAATATATATATATATTTTAAGCAAATTTTAATTTTCGTATGGCCTAACGCTAATTCAATAAATAACAATTTACCTGAGCCAAATGCGAAGCTCCAGATTCGAGATTGGATTTTCCATCAGTGTGACAGGTCACACTTGGTGTATTTCTGTGATACATACATCTTTCCCCATTTGCTGTCACTGCACGCCTGCATGGCATTCCGGTAGTTGCTGTTATAACCGCACAGATGTATTGAGGGTTCGCCTTGCTAAATTGCAAGCTACTCTTTATATTCTAATCATATAAATATTGAATAAATTAGTATTATAATCCTTAAAATATTGATGAAACTTAAAAAAAAAAAAAAAGACGTTGTGTATACCTGGTTATTGTTCTGATTATAAAATTGATCCTCATTAGTTGCTGCAGAAATGGCAGAAATATATGGTGCCGTAAATTTGGGTGCTTTAGCGGAAGGATCAGGTTGAAATCTTGAATTATGCCTACATCAAATAACAAAAATAAATTATTAGTTACGATTTTTTTTTTTTTTTTTGATAAAAGCCATCAATGTGTACTCACAATGGATATGAAGCTTGGAATTGTCCTTTCATCAATGCAATAGGATATTCATTCTCTTTATGTACTGCAATCTCTTCGTTATTCATAGTTTCAACAATTTTTCGAATATCCGGTGGTAAAACATTCATCACCTCTGATTTGAGTACTCCAAGCGGATTCCTGGAAACTGTATCAAACTTGATTTCTGATTCGATAATCGTGTTATTCCTTGTTAATGATAACAATTCCGTTCGAATTCTTGTGGGTTGTTTGTCTCGAGGAACTTGCTCAATGTTGGTATGAGGATCATAAAATTTAATACCATCTTTTCGACAAAGTTTTAACTGAGTATTAAAATCTCGTGTTGAAAGTGAAAGCCTATACATCCAACTTAATGGGTCATTAATATTTATATTTTTATTTATTGTCATATGATTGTTGATCATGCGTTTGTGAAGAACGTTATTAGTGCTTTCTGTATCAGAGCTTTGGTCATTATCATTTGCTTCTGCTTCGAGTTTGGATTCATAATAGTCGTCTTGTCGCTTCTTACCACCTTGAATAATTTTCGATCCAAATAACATGAAAATCGATCTGGCAGATACAAGAGAAATTGGCCTACTTCGAAGATTTGTTGGAATAAGCCCAGTAGTAATCAAATAATCACGTTCTTCATTTGTTGCAGTAATCCTCGTTAATGATGAATTTTTTGTAAAAAATGTATAACTATCACGAAATCCAAGGACCTTAGATGGATCCATGGAACACATGTACCAAGTTTCTCCGCGAGCAGGCAATTGAAAAACTGGTACTTTGAATTTTCGACCTAATATGACATGAAGAATGAAATTCAATAAAAAAAATTACCAAGATCTGCCATGTAGATAGAAATTGAATTGACACCTTACCACCCAAAAGTTCACCATCTTTGGTGATTTTTTGCTCGCCTTTTTCATCCAATATTTCGTCCTCTTGAGTAGACTCTAATGACTGTACTTCACTACTAATTACCTCCTGTTGTGTGTCTGTCTGATGCACTTCATCATTGCTTTCCGGAGTTTGTATCTTATCTGTATCTTTTGGTGACAATATTTTATCGATTTTTTTTGCTTTACCTTTCAGGTTGAGTCGAATACGCTTTGGAGAGCTCACATCGATACTTGGATTTTTGCGCGGTCTGCCCCGTTTACGTTTAACTTCTGGCTGCATCGGAAAAAAACAAAAACAATAATAATCTGCGATGATCTTACAAAATGATCAAATAATTGCAGAAATTTTAATAAAACTGCAAAGATCTAAATTTTATTTATAATAATGATCTTCGCAGATCATAAATACCTGATACTGTGTCTTCTAATGTATAAAGAATATGCACAGTGAACGCGACTGATTTTTGACATTCGCTTTCCTGGTAAAGTCACTTTTTTCCCAAGCATTTATTATTTTAATATAAAATAAGATACTCAAGTTCATAAATATTTAATATTTAATATTCGTTCATGTTAATTAGTGCGTGAGAAAATTTAGAGTTTTAAAGTAAGCTACTCAAGTTCTTGAGTATTTACTATTTAATTTTATTCGCGTAGTTTAGGTGAGTATGAAAAAATTTTTAAATGCTTGCAATAACTATTTAAGTTCGTGAATATTTACATTTTAATTTTCATTTTCATTTATTCGCATTTAGTGAGTATAAAAAAGTATTTAAGTTCACTATTAAATTTCATTTTGTCCATATTAATTTAGGGTAAAAAGAAATTTTATTAATCTAAGTCTTTAAAATAAGCTATTCAAGTTTGAGTAAATGCAATTTACAAGAGCAATGCACTGATTTCTCTGAGAAAAAGTATTAGCGGATGCACTTGCAAGAAAAGCACGCCAACTTCTTTGAAGGAAAAACATTAGTGAATGTATTTTGCAAAAACTTCACACTGACTTCATTGAGTCAGAATGAGGAAAAGCATTAGCAAATGTATTTTGCGAGAACGCTACGCTAATTTTTTTGGGAAATGGTAATATTCTTGGATTGAAGTATTAGTAAATGCGTTTCACAAGAATGCACAGTTGCAATGATCTTGGATAAACATTGAAAAGTATTAGTAGATGCACTTTGTGAGAATGCTATGTTGACTTTTTTTGGATCTAAGTAGTAATAGTCTTGAAACAAAAGAGGAAAAACATTAGCAAATGCATTTTGTGGAAATATCACGCTAACTCTTAAGATCTTAGTGTTGGTTGTTGAAGCAAAATTAAGATTTAATTATGGTTAGAATCGGGGTTGAGTTAAAGGACTAAGAAAAGCAATAATGAACGTATTAGGTATACTTGAGCAAAGGCTATATTTTTTTTCTCGATATAGTGAATTTTATTAATGGAACCGATCGACTCATTATAACAAGAGACTTTCGTTGTAATTACTAAATTATGCTCGCATAAGCATTAAACTAAAGATATGCATGGGGGAGGAAACTAATTGGATGGAGAATGGAAAGGTTTATTAATATTAGTAACATCCGTTGGAATTTATTTTGGGCTGAATCCAATAAATAAATAATTAATGATGAAAGCTCGAAATCACATATTTCCTTAGTAGCACTTATATAATAAATGAACAGGTATCAATCGTACCGAAATCAATAATTATTTATCAGCTGTCCCAGAAATTATGAAAACAAGTATAAAATAACTGATTCTCATCGAATTATTATTACAATGTATGATTTTAATACGATCTCTAATTTGCACGAACAATTTTATGAATCAATGTATATGTCGTGCCTCAGATCAATTCTTGCGTCAGATTAAAACCGGCCTAAGTTAGATTAGGGTTAGGGTAAGA